CCTGTGGTTATGCACGTTAGAAAATGACACGTCAACTGGGGCGTTCATCGCAGACTTGCTCTGATCCGCCGAGGGGCCCCGCGTCTCGTCAAGGTTCGTCCTGGGCTTTCCTTTTGAGCGACACTGCCAACATCAACATCCATTGGTTCAGCCATGCTGGGGCTTCGATGGCTTGTTCGACGTGTGAGGGATCTAGCCAGAGCGAGGCACCCAGGGTGCGGACTTCACGACACCGCCCCAACACGGATTATCCGCCCGATTCAATGGGGGGGTGGGTGTTCAGGGCGAATTGGGGCGGGCTATTGATTGGCCGTGGATTGACGATGCAGCTTCAAACTAAGGTTTGGAGGAGATAGAAATGCATTATGTTCGTGCTGTATCAGCTCTCATAAATCTCGTGCGAGATGATAATGGTGGCCCTCGATCCAGACGGCGGCGACACGGATGTTGAGATACAGTGCGAGTTGCTCGTCGCTAAATGCGGCGAACGAAGGGGAGGTGCGATCGCGCGTCGTCACGTGGACAGACTCGTTCCATGTGTTCACCACGACATCGCCAGAATGGGCAAACCCATTGGACAATCGCTCCCAGGTGGAACAGATTCCGCGTCTAGATCGCCCATTTGCTTCACAAAGTTTTCATCCTGTCGCAAATCCACTTTGACCGTGGAATTAAGCCTCGACGCCGAAATCGTGTACCAAGGCTGCCGATCTCCCGCCATCGTGTACTGTATGGCTGTGAAGGCCTCGCCAAGTATCATCACGAGCACTTCGACCGCCCCAAGGACGTCAACATAGTTTCGAGGGCAAGCCCGAGTCTGTCACCTCACCTCACCTCCGAACTGACACGTATGTGCACAGGCGAAGGGGGGCCACGTCGCCTGGGCGGCCCCTCTTCCCATCCACAGCTACGTTGTACAGTTCGTCCACACAAGGCAGCCCTGTAAAAGCAGTTGGGTAATGAAATCGCGAAATGGGGCATTGCAAATAAAAGCTGCTTACATTCGCAAGCGATCCCACGTTTCAGGCAGATAAACGCTTCTGGAAACGGCCCCCGAGCATCAGCCTTATGCTTATGATCCCTCCCCCTCCCCCTTTGTGTCACGACCACGCCGTGGGGGCCACCCCGGCCGGCCCCCTCGCGTGTGTATGTGAATGCTTTTCTACAACTGCTCTGCACGTATGTGGGTGATCAGGCTCGATCATGGCAGGATCAGCTCCTATGAAGCCTTTCTGGACAATATGCTGGTGCTTGTTACGGCCATGTCCGAATGCTACACTAGGCTGCATGATATGACGTTGGCGCAACCACCGATTGGGAACTCAAGCGATCGAGAGACACCAGCCCGTCAGACACATGTGGCGGAGGCTTTCCGCGCCTAACCCACAGTGGTTTCACTGCATCACGGGCAGAGGAGCTGCATCGTCAAGTTGCCCAGCCTTGGGGAAGCCATCCGGCGAGTGCTGTGGCCCATTGGACCCCGAAAGCCTCGTCCTAATATGGCTCTTGCGCCCCCAGAGCTCTGACACGCTGGCAAAGCCTGGGCGCCTTCAGCCGCGGTGCCCAAATTTTCGGCTGGGAAGCTTCTTGGTCATCGGTCACCGAGTACAGTCGCGATCGATGCACAATGTGTGTCGCTCCTGATACTAACTATGCGCTTGATCAGCTACTTATATAGCTTGGCCGCCATGGCACAAGCGGATGTGTTATCTCATCGCTAAGATCTTTTCTCTATCGCCTGCCGATCTAGCATTCCAGAATCAATACATTGTGGAAAAACCTCTCGTACTCTCAGTCAGCTGGACCGCAATGTGTCAGGACCGATCCGAAAATGGGCGGAGCAGCAACACGGATGCTGCCTCGACGCGAGCGCGGAACGGAAGCCCCGAGTAAACACCCTCTCTCCTTTTCTCCCTGGCAGTTCCCACCAACCCCCCAGCCTGACCTTATTATAGGCGCCGTTCCTCCAACCCTGACTCCCAAGCTTCCTTCCCCTACCAGGGCGTTGGCCGTCACAACGACGACCGCCGCCGCGACCTGGGCGGGAGTCTTCGTCTCATCACTGAGGAATTCACCCCCAACGGCTCTCGTCACTCGACGCCTGTGGAGAAGTCAAACATTTGGCTTCATGACCTGGCCCTCGCTTCGTCACCCATCAACCATCAGTACTCCAATGGCAAGCGTAGCCGCGACAAGATGGAGCGCGACCTCGATGACCAGCTGGAGCGCGCCAAGGTTGATGGTTTTACGAAGCGCCTGAAGCATGACTCCAAGAGACATACTTCCGACTCGATAAGACTCGAGGACCCATCGTCGTCAGGTACTAGCACCAATGACAACAACAGCAGCGACCAGGCCCGCCGACGTCGCCACGCTGATGGTGCCCCTCACCGTTCGGGTCGTCACAGGAGCTACGGGGATAGGCACTAGCTATCCAACCAGCTCTCCGATGACAACTCTCCCGCGGAAACCGGCATGCCCTTGACTGTTTCTCGCACCAATGGTCTGCTAGTTCACGCGGACACACGAGGAGCGACTCATCTCGTTCGATCATGTTAACCTGCACCCACGTTCGATACCAAGATCGACCTGCAACAACATAGTCTTGGTAACACTCGGCAAGGTCGGACGGCGTTTCCACATATTGTTATCTTGATCCTTTTCTGTTTTACGCGAATAGTTCTAGAGTACCAGACCCCGAAAGGTCTCCACACGTGCTGCCTCGTCATCTCCCCAGACGAAGAAACAAGGCCCAGCCAAGTCATGGACACGGACACAGACTGCTGGGCCTCACTGGCTTCACTGCCGGGCTTCGTTTGTTTCTACCCTCGGACTTCTGCAAGGAGTCCATCCTCGTGTACACTAATCCATCGCGGAACGTCCCCTCCCGAGCAATTGACGAGAATCTGGCACAGCCAAAACATCAATCGATCCCCAGGCGATGGATGCCCTCCCAAAGTTGTGTACCACCAATACCGGTGCACGAATTTCCTTTCGCGGCTTATGCTTGCATGTCTTGCCCTGGGTTTCTTCGGATTGTCAATCGAGTTTCTTTCTATCCCTTCCATGTATCTCCAGAAATTCATCTCAGGAATTATACCATCAATGCCAGCACAAGGACCACTCTCAGCGCGGTGATCGTGAAGCGCGAAACCTTGCGTGTCCCACACAGGATGCAGACACCCAAGGGCAACGGCATAGCCATGTATAGCTGTTGGAATGGGGGAGAATTGCCATCCGTGCAGATCACGGGCTGACTGATTGTTTCACGGCGTGCTCTTTTAATGCGCCAGCCGGGCGGCCGGGCCATCCGCCCTTGAACAGCTCCACAGCCGAACAAACGAAAAGTGGCAACCCTAGACGACGTGCACCTTATCATAAGAATGCTATTGTTGCGCCGCCAGAGGAACCAGCCTACGAGCGATAACTGCCTCCAACTTCAGCTGGGGGAGAAGGGAACTCCAACTGCAAGGGCGGCCAAGCATTCCAACCCCCGCCACCTGGTCAGCGCTCGCTCCTTCCACTCCGCCCATCTCCAAAACAGAAACACAAGACAACCGCCCCCCCCTTTCCCCCAACCCACCCACCGAGGGGGGGATAAAAAAAAACCTCCTTCCGTCACCAGCCATTGACCACCTTCTTCTCGAACAGAGACACAATCGGCACGCGAGAACCATTGGAAAAGGCACGCCCCCCCCCTCTCGCCCCTTGTCGTATAGGTATTTCCCACTCTCGGAGATTTAAACCACCCACGAAGCACACCCCTTTGTCTTCTCTTTTCTGCCGCCCCCAGACTTTCCACTCCTACCACACCCCCCCCCTTTTTTCCTCGCTTCTTCTGCCTGCCCTCCCCCCCTTCTCTTCCTCTTTGTCTCTGCTGCCCGACCCCTTCTCCAACCCCGTCCCCGCTGCTGGGGGAGAGGGGGGAGGGGGGCAGCAGACCACGCGGTTCTTGCAGTCTGACACTGGCAGGTTCGGAAGCAGGTTGGCTGGGGATGTACGCACGCATGCACATGTGTGAGACAGACAAAGCCACCCGTCGGGTGTTAAAAGAAGAGCCAAAAGGTCCGGCTCGCGTGGGCTCGAAATCGGAGCAGAAAGACCCAGCTCAGATGGTTGGGGAGGGCGGACTCCCGCTCACGTATTACTCCTTGCATTCCCGGCTCGCATTTTCTCTCCGTCTTCTCTTCTTCTCGTCTCTACTTTTCTCGGCCGCCCACGACAGGCGCACATACAGACATGCTCAACCCTCAGCGTCAGCAGACAGTGTTCCCATCTCGATTGTCCGTCGGCCGGCCGGTTGGGCCCCCTCCAATCTTCCTCAGCACCATACCAATCCATCCCATCCAATCCCTCTCACCTCCAACGTACCCCCCTGGAACCAACGCTGTCAATATAACCCCCTCCCAGCTCCCAAACGAAAAGAGGAAAGGAGAGAGAACCCACATCAATAATGGCCCCCCTCCCCTCCCCACCCCCCCGGGCAGGGCCTCTTCTGTTCTAGGGCCATCCGTTTCGGAAACAAATCTCGCCACAGGGAAACGGGGAAACGCCCCCTGGACCAATGACAGCCCGTCCGCCGCGCCAGACCCCGGACAGTCGTCCTCGATAGCTCGACCGTGCTATTCAATACTACATGTATAACCCCCCCTTCCGGACAGAGCATCCACGCGAGATGAGCGCGGCGCACGGAAGAGAACGAGCACGCCGGCGCGGCGGTGACGCTGACGGTGAGCGTTGGCGCTCCGACCCTCCCTGGTCCCCCCTCCACCCCCTTCTATTTCTCTGGCGGCGAAATCCCTTAGGTCGCTGTCTGTTATAGCCCACCTTCACCGGATGCGCCCAGTTGCCATTCGCCGAGAACAAGAGAGAGATAGGCTTCAGGCACCTCGTTTCCTTCTCTCACTAGTCCGTCTGTGTGCAGCCCAAGGGGCTGCGCGAGGCGGAGCGGCGGGGCGCTTAAAGGACCTTATTATGGACCTCCCCCCTTCTGTTGACTTCTGTTAACTTGTCTGCCTGACATGCCTACCGAAGATCCTGTTTCTCTCATCATATATGGTCATCCTTGGTCTCTCTTTGCCTTGTTCTTTCCTCTTTCACGTCCCTCCCTGAGCCGCCTCGACATGCCATCGCCGTTCCAGTGTCAGCGTTCGTCCACTCGCATCTTGGCTACCTACACCTCGCGTCCGAGGAGACGAATTCTGGTCGGGAACCGCCATCAAAACCGCATTTTGGTTTAGTGGCATCACACAGCACAAGTATCATGCACTCTTTCCGGGTCAAAGGCCATCTGTTCGCCTGATGCCATACAGTCTTCCATTGAGCGCGGTATCAATTTCCAAGTCGACATGAGGAAATAGCCAAACCAGACCAAGTTCTATTTCCAACCAAAACGGTATCCTACACCTACATCGACCTCGATGCATGCCACCTACCTCCACGTCACCATCAGCCGGCGGAGAAGAACAAGAAAACCAAAGAGAGATGGACATGGAAGTAATGGAGGGGAACGCCGAGAATGATGCCACAGTACCCGAGAAGGTGCGCTGCCGACGACGACAGCAGAGTTAAAAGAGATGTAGGAAGGTATGTGAAAAAGACGAAAGTTTTGTACAAGTGGTATCTCTTGGCGACACTTGGTCGCATCAAAATGGGGTTCGAAGGTCAAGCAGGGTTCGTTACAAGTACACGAGGCACGCCCGCCATCGTGGATTCAAAGGGTTGTGCATCGGTCGGTCACGGAAACTGCAAGAAAAATCACAGATCTCGACGATTCGCTCAGAGGAGCATCACTGAGGGCGTCGAGGCTGCTCTGGCTTATCAATCAGGCCTCCAATGTCAACGCGGCCTGATCGTTCCCCTCTCTTGGGCGGTGGCTCAGACTGTAGGGGAACTTGCTGTGGCGATGAGCGGATTGGTGGCAGTTGATATGACGGCTGCTGCGGTGGTGGCCTGTGGCTTGGAGGCAATTCGCTGCGAGGAATTTGACTCGATGAGGGACCAGCAGCATAGTCAGGCCTGGTTGGGGACGCCGCATACGAAGGCATCCCGGAACCTATACTAGGGCTGAAACCTGGACTCAAACCAGGACTCAGTCCTGGCATCAGTTGTGGTGGGTGTCCAGTGGAAGGACGCGAAGCTGAGGAGCCTTCCGCAAATCTCGGTCTGTTCGGGTCGAATGGTGCAGTAATCTGTGGATGCTGGCTGTACGTATTCGAGTGCTGAGGGTGATGATATGGTTGATGGGTTGGATACCCGTAGTGCACCTCCCTCGCATGAGGCGAAGTCGTGGCATATGGATCGCCTGGCGGGAGCACCAGCATCAATGCGATGAAATAGGTGGAGTCCCGTTTGGCTGAGCCGAAACGGACAAGAAACGATCTCAGCTGGCCGCCCGGTGCAGCAAACGCCAGCATGTCTCTCCTATCCATCTGGATGCGCGCCAACTCTTCGGCGTCGAAGCGGAGAGTCTCAAACACGCGCTCTTCCTCCTGCTTTCCAAAAATCGGCGGAAGGTACATGGGATCTTTTCGACTACGCTCTTCCTGAACGACGAGCTGGTGACCCTGCACTTTGGTCCGTTCTGAAGGGGTCACGAGGTCGAATAATGCCCTTCCCCGAATGTTGGAGATGCCAATGGCATCCATGAAGGTTGGGGACGCCTTCACTACCTCCATGTCAAGGTTGAGGAAAGCCACCGGCTCAGCGGCCGAGGACGGGATAGCCAACGGCGGCGGGTACATGCTGGCTTCGCTTGCAGAAGCTCGCTCAAGGTATCTGGGCGCGATGGGCTCGCTTTGTTGAGATTTTAGAATGCGGTATGAGTTGACACGCCGGAGTGGATCATCGTACCCTGAAACCGGTCCGCCAGATGAGTACAGACTCAACGGCCTCCTAATCGCAGCATCTTGGGGATGCGGGTACGTGGAGGGAGCGTAACGGCCTTCCCTGTCGTCTCGAAGGCGCGGCCGTCCACGTTTCTTGTGTTGGACGTCGATGCACGCATCCTCTTTGCCATTGCTGAGGCATCTTGAACACGGTCGTCGGGCTATTAACAAAGCAGGCAAATGTCAGCAAGTGGTGCATCGGCAGGAAATTGTGGTTGAAGATGGTTCAATCTGCCAAATGAAAACAAAACAAGTGTTGATCGGCCAAGTGGCTGGCAAAGCTGCCACTGCCAGGCCGTTTCAGGCTCTGTTGCGTACTATCGCTGTTCACTTGAACTCGGAAGGGCAAGATTGTGCGGCTCGAAAGTCGTGACGGAGACGCAGATAGGAGTCCCTCCCGACTGCAGGCCGGAGGCCTTTCCGTGTCCCAACGGAGAAGTCCCGGCACTCGGCTCCTTCAACGCTAGCTCACGATTGGCGACTGGTCCCGAATATGGGGTTAGAGCCCAACGGTGACAAAGCGCAAGTGCTCTGACGCGCCGTCCCAGACCGCCGGGCCGAAGTGCCGCGTGGTCGGTCCTGGAGCCGGATTTCGCTAGCCGATCTTTACCTTAACAAACCTGCTGACTGGCTAAGTTGTGGAGGTGATCAAAGCGTCGCGATCGAACTATTGGGATCCTGCAGGTGTCTCCCCTCTGCTGTCGTCATCCCTAAAAAGCCCGCCCAGAGGTATTGTCCTCTTATTGCTGTGCCTCCTGCAGCGGCCACGTTCAACTCTGTAGTGCACCTGTGGCGTGCTCATCGCTCAAGTCCCAGAGCTGTCAGACCTGAGACCAGCTAGTTGTTGAGATGATGCCAACCAACTCGGCCGCGACAGCGCCACATGCACCAAGGTCACAGCACAGCGCCGCGCCGCTGCAGGTCGGATGCCGCTCCGTTCATGCAGAGATAGAAGGGGAGCAAGTGCTAAATCAATATAATAACAATTAAGAAAATCGCTTATCGGTACGTACCGTCACATCTGAAGATGGTGTGTTAGCGTCATGGATGCCCAAGGAGCATGTAAGGAGCAACATACCGGAGATGAGCTTTCTTGCACGGTACACATGCTGAAGCAACATGGCCCTTCGTCTTGCGTTGAGACTTGGGCGAGGCGAATGGCTGAGCGTCCTCTGGCGCCTGTGACGTCGGACCAGCGTAGGTTTGCGTCGACGGCGGCTGGGGTGGTGGTGGCAACGGTCCTGGCATTGCCATATACGGTGCCGGCCTATGATGCACATGCTGTGCAGACATTGATGGGTATGGCGCCGAGGTCGGAGCAGGCTCCTCTGATCGATGGTAGGAAGAAAGTGTCATTCTGTCCGGTGGTTCAGACTGGTAGGACCGGACCTGGGGTGGAGGTATCAATGGCGACGGGCCCTGGATGCCGCTGTGAGCTCCCAATGTTGAACTTGGCCGATAAGCATCTTGTGAGCTGGCGCTCAAATAGCTCCCATGCAGTTGGCTCCGGTCCCCAGCCTCGTGAGTTGCGTTGGGCGGGAGAGAAGGAGACCCTGACATGGGCGGAGAGGGGTATGCCCTAGAGCGAGCAGCAGTGCCAGGCTCTGCTCGTTGCTTGGCCCAAGTCAGGTCTAAAGCGAAAGGCGCCAGATCGGATACGCCCCGGCGTTGGCCGAGAGGGAGTGAGAACGGTTCGTGATATCTCTTTTCGTCTTGCATGGATAACCTCAAGCTGTCCAGCGAGATGGGTGGACTGGCAGCTCCCGGGTCTCCTCACAGACAGCGCAGTGACGGGGCTCCTTCGCTGACACGATGAGTCGATCCCGCGCAAATAAAGGAGGAGCAAGGCCCGAGTACGCGCTCGTGTTCGCGGTCAAAATCCTTGGTGCAAAGGTTGTCGGCCAGATGCTCGTCGAAGTCGCGAAGTCGTTGATACTCTCAAAGTCGTCTTAGGAGGCTGATGGATAGGTTCCCAAGCGGCGGCTGGCTGACGAACAAGCCGGAGAAGAGCGGGTTTCAGACAAGTCGAAGCGATAGGCGAGTCGTGGGGTTTCACGAGATGCTGCAGAGTGATACTCGCACAACGATTTCCTGTCGGGTTCTCAGTTGCACGGCATGCGGCCGTGTTTGTGGTGACCTCGTCGTTGCTGTGTTGCGGGCTGCTGCAGGCTGAGGGACCAGGGCGGGGGAGGCGGAGGCGCAGGAGTTCGCAGCCAGACGTGTTCGACTGTAGAGAGATGGGGGTAGGGGAGAGGGGCTTTTCGGGTGATGGAGGGGGGCAGATGTGATGCCTTGCCCTTGTCCGTCTTTTGTATGCTGTCCTCTGGCCCGATCAGAAGTCGGAATGAACGTCTACTGTGTCGTGACGGCAGGACGGGTTTTAGGAGAGTCGATCGGTGGCTCCCGTTGGGTTTTTGTGCGACTCGGTGCTGGGCTACAGAGTACGGGGGGGGAGAACCAATTGAGATGAAGCTAGGGCGCTTTCAGGGTTGATCTGGTCGAGAGGCACAGGGAAGCCAGGGAAGACCCTGGTCAGGACTTTGGGGTGGCTGCTAATCAAGGGTGGAGGGCTATGCCATCATCATGCCCTGGGCATGGGCATGCTTCCATCACGACGACAATTTTCCGTCCCGCGGGCGCGTGTCAAGAAGGTAGCATGCCCGAGACGGCGGCCGCAGCCGCAGCCGTGGTCGTGGTCGTGACAATGGCCGTCGCTGCGGGAAATTGACGGAGTCAGGGCGCGATCAGACAGACGGGACAGGACGAGCCGGCTTTGGACTGCGTATGAGAGGCCTGTACTGGTTCGATGCAGTGTTCGATGAGTGGTACTCTTACGAATGATTCTGCGCGTTCGGGCCCAGGCAGGCCAGGTCAAATTGGACTGCGGAGGCGAAGGAGGGGTGGTTCAGGTGGGAGTGGGAGAGTGGGAGGGAGTCCAGTCCAGGACCCAGGACCAGTACCAATTCCAGGATAGGGATCAGGAACGGGATAGGATGGAGGGGAAAGCGAATGGAAGGTGACGGATCAAGTTGGTAGGTGTTGCGGCCCATGTTTGGAGTGGTCTGAGCC